AGAGAGAAAGAAAGAGAGAAAGAAAGAAAGAAAGAGAGAAAGAAAGAAGAGAGAGAGAAAGAAAGAAAGAAAGAAAGAAAGAAAGAAAGAAAGAAAGGAAAAGAAAAGGAAAGAAAGAAAGAGAAAGAGAAAGAAAGAAGAAAGAGAAAGAAAGAAAGAGAAAGAGAAAGAAAGAGAAAAAGAAAGAAAGGAAGGAAGGAAGGAAGGAAGGAAGGAAGGAAGAGGCAGAGGGAGGGAGGGAGAAAAGAAGGGAGGGAGGAAGGAAGGAAGGAAGGAAGGGAGCCTGAGTTCCAATGCCTGTCACTAAAAGAATAGAGGGTGAGGAGGGAACCTCAAGGTAGAGAAGTATCAAGCCCTGCTACAAGGTACCAGCACTCTGTGGCATGCAAAATCCTACGGACATTTCATTTGGTCCTCACAGAATGTGATGCAGGTTTTGTTAACCCCCATTCTATGGATGAAAACACCAAGATTCAGAGAGAATAAACAACCTGGCCAAGGTCAGGCAGAGATCCTTGACTGTCTGAGCTGCCACAAGAGCTCGCACATGGCCTCCACAGCCTTGCATTGGGGCTCCTGCTCCTAATCCCAGGGTGTTCCCTGGACTCATCACTCTCTTTCTGTTAGCTTCAAGATGCACGGCATCTTGTTCATCCCTTGGCTTCTTTCCTCTCTACAGATTCTTCCCTGGCTTCCAGCCTCCTGGAAGCTTCCCCATTGAGATCCCACAGTCTTTGCAAATATAATCTCTAAAAGGCCTCCCCACTCCCTTGCCCCTTCTCTCAGGGACTGTCCCTTCTCCCTGCCTCCCAGGTCCCAAAATCTGCATCACTTTTGGTGATATCTCCCCTTCCCATATACACAATCATCCCGTCATCTCAATCCTTTCTTAAAACATCTGTGACCTCTCACTGTTGGTTTCTACTTTTTCTCAACACCCAGCACTGTGACCTGATGCCTGCCTGGTTCCTTGCAGAAGTCTCCAATTGATTTCCCTCAGTGCTTCCCATTTACCCTGTTCATAGCTGCCAAATTGGTTGTCCTTAAGACACCATCTTCATCACAACATTGACCTGCCTGCCCTCCCACTTTGCTGGACTCCTTGCTGCCTTCATGAGATCAAGTTCACACTCAGCCTGCACTCAAGAAGCCTGTGTCTGGCCTCCCATGGCTTTCTAGCCTCAGCCTCCACCTCCCAATTGCCCAGTATGGCAAAAAACGATTGCTCACCACACGCACTTCCCACTATGGCACCCTGTTTCCCCAGCAGCCTGTCCCCTCCTTTCAACTGCCCACCTGCAGTCAAGGCCTCCAGAGCCCTCCCCCCAAAGCCTGCAGGATTCATTATCTGCACTGTTCATCAGCCCAGTAATTATGCACTGTCTTGTAACTCTCTACTGTTTAGCCGGGAACAGGCATTGAAACTGACTAGGGCTATTTAATCTCCATATCTCATGTCTCTCTATCTCTATGTATATATCTCATCACCCCAACAGCATAAACCACTTGCAGGTGAAGTCTCTCTAATGAGTCTGTTTCTCCCTACAGTACCTAGTAAGTGTTGGATATATATATATTTTGATTTTGCTTCTCTTCCCACATACGTTGGCCTCAAACAGCCAGGCTGGTCAGAAGAGTAAGCACTGGCCTTGGAGACCTGACTTGGCCATCACTAATCTCCCACAGGCCAATTTCATGTTACTCTCCCAATTCGGGGTCCAAATGCAAGCATCCAGGGTTTCAGTGGCTCTAAAGGGTTATTGTCGTTCAGAAAGGTTGCTGATCCACGCTGCCTGGAGCAGGCTCTGGTTGCTGATTTGGTGATGGTGTTTCCTTTCCTTTCTCTGGATTGCCTAACCCAGGAAAACATCCCTAAGTATGAGGGAGGGGGTGTGTTTAACCCCCGAACCCTTACTTGCTCATTGGTGAAACCACTCCAACCCAACTCCAAGGCAGTCTAAAGCACCCAAGGGAAGCCCTGCCCTTGAGAGAGAAAGAAGACACTGCACCTTTAAGTCTGCAGCCAGTGGAGAAAAACAAGCTGTGATTTATATAAGCGGGAAAATCATGTGATTTGCAGGAACGCTCCCTCCTCCCGGCCCCCGCCCCCGACGCCTCCGAGCCCTTCCCCGAGGGGCCCGGGCGCGGGCTGGGCTGGGCTCGGCGGCAGGGGCGGCGCGGCTCGGGCGCGCTCGGCACAAAGCCGCCGGCACGGGGCGCACTCCCGCGGCTCTTCCCTGGGGCCTCGGACGCCGTGCCGAGGCGGCGGCCTTGGCGCGCAGCAGAGTTTGGTCCCCAAACAGCCTTGCGGCAGGAGGTCCCCAACGCGACCCCGCGGTGTGCGGCCGCTGAGGACGCACAAAGCCCTGGGCGCAGCTGCCCGCCAGGGGCCCGCGACCAGCCCCGCTTGCCCCCCCCCCAGGTGAAAGTATGCCGAGGACTTGAGGCTTCCCCCAACTTCTCAGAAAGGAGAGCTGGGGCACCCAGCAGGAGGGGAGAGCAGTTCAGGAAATAATTTGGTTGGGAAAGGGCATGATGAAAATCAGCCATTTCTACATCTGAGAGCTAGATGTATTTAGCCAGAGGACGAAGCTTTTCATGAAAGGAACTGATGTGGCCTTTTCAGGCAGAGTCAAGAGAGAATGTTGATTGGGAGGCCCTGAGAACTACCATAGATTTTTCCGACATTAAAGGCAGGGTGGGTTCCGTGGGAAAAGCACCAGAAAGTTAAGACTGACAGCTCCTGAAGGAAAAGAAAATGCTCAGATCCTGCTGGGGTACAGGGACTGAAAGGTCATCTCAGTCATAGCCCTGTTGTTGAATATGCTTATGGAGGGAGAGGATTAGCAATATCTTCCAAAACAATATCCAAAAGGTATCTTCCAAAAAGACACTGAGAAATCCGAGGGGCTTTCTCAATGGAGAAAGCTGGAAGGAGAGACAAGGGGTCTCTCTCTCAGCACCTTGTCCTTCCAGTAAACCACAGTGTCTGCTCTGAAAGTATCCCAAGAAAGAAACCCATAGATTCTCAGAGTTACTAATTCAAGGGGTTAAAGCTTGTCACAGATAACGTTTAAATTCCATTTGAATTTCCTCCACGGTCCTCTGCTGGGGATGAGGCATAAACCCAGGGCTGTCACATGGAGGGAAAACATGATGCAATTAACCAAGTTGCTAATGCATCATCTCACCATGACCTCTGCCATCAGCCTCTGTCCCAGCCCACTCTCTGCATCCCACACAGCCAGCTAGCTGCTCCTAGGAAGGTCATGGCAGCTCTCCTCCCATCCCCCCTTTCCCTGTCCAATGGAGGATCTTTAGGCTGAGTTCATTTCAGAAACAGTGCCTCAGTGCCCTCTCACAGGAGCAGTAAGAAGACCCTTCCTGGAGGGGGAAGCTCACATTCTTGGTTATTCTTAAAATCCTAAAGAAAAATACTGTTAACATTGGGATTGTAGGGGATCGCATTCTGGCCATTCAGATAGATGCCGAATTCACTCATTCAGTGATTCAGTTATTTATGTGTGCCTAGTACTGAGCTGGGCACTGGGAGTACAATGTGAGTAAGACAGATACATTCCCTCCCTGAGCCCTACACTGGTCCTCCATACTTGGTCCCAGGACAAGAGATTAGGAAAGACTTTCTTTTTCTCCACTAGCTTATCTACCCCAACCCACCGCTAGCAGGTGGTACCTCCACCCCCACCTGCATCTGTCTCCTGGTTCTGTCAAGAGCTGTTTCTATGAGAAGACATTAACTCTCTGATGATTAGGTAGTAGATACAAGAAGTAACATAAAGGTCTGTCCAAAAAATGAAATCAAAGTTGGCAGCCTTCCAGGTCCCTCTCAAAAAGGATATAGCCATCAAAACTTATAATTTAGGGGCTGGGGAGGTGGCTCAAGCGGTAGCGCGCTCACCTAGCATGCGTGCGGCCCGGGTTCGATCCACAGCAGCACCACATACCAACAAAGATGTTGTGTCCGCCGAGAACTAAGAAAAAAATAAATGTTAAAATTCTCTCTCTCTCTCTCTCTCTGTCCCCCTCTCTCTTCACTCTCTCTTTAAAAAAAAAAAAAAAACTTATAATTTAGTTCAGGCCCCACTTTATTCCATGCCACCTGCGTTCTCTCTTTCCTTTCCTCTCTTCCCTTTTGCTATGGCTGCCCCATCCAGGGCTCCTCCTTCCAAAGCTTCCTATGCTTCCAGGCCCCTAGGTCTGCCATTTCAGAGCCTTCCCTGGTGAATCCAGCTGCATCTTCCTAATGTAACTCAGTGGTTTCCAGTCCTGAGCCCTTAGACCCTGCACAAAGGCCTACTGGAAGTCTCCTTAGTCTTCCATTGGTGGAAGGCCTCCTTATTGAAGGTGCCCAAACATCCACCCTTATCCTTGAGTCTGGCAACCTCCTCCTTCCAACACTCCTAGGTCCTACAGCCCCTGCCTTTAACCCAGTGCCATTCTCAGGATTTCCCTGATTTCTCCTATTTTCTTTGGCCATTCATGAGCATAACCTGATAATGTGCAAAGGGAGATCTGGCTAAGCCTGTAGTGAATAAGGATTTTAAAGGAATAAACAGAAATTATAGCCCCCAAATTGAAAAGCCACAAACTTGGCTACCTTTGAAAAAAGACAGATCTGGACTTCCGAAGTGTTTTGTTTTATTTGTTTTGGGTTTTGATTTCTTCCTGCCTTCTTCCTTTCTCTCCTTTCTTTTTTAATGTACCAAAGAACTCAATGTTGAATTAGTGAAATCAGCTCATTATGGATACTGTCTCTTTCAGGAAATGGGGCCTCAGAAGAAAAAAGGTATTCCAGCCTCTGCCAAATCCCACTGTTTCAAATTAGTCTTCCAGTAAAGGCTGTACTAACTGGTCTTTAAGGTCCTCCTATCTCTTAAGCTCTGAAACTCTAAAAAAAAATGTCCACAGCACCTTTTAGAAAGCTGTCCGTGCTCATAACTGAGTAGAAAATATATTTGTGCTCAGGGCCGGGTCGGCAGCTGAAGCTCAGAATTGGACTTTCAGAAATGTTTGGGGCCTGCTTCCCTCTTTTTCCTTTCCCTGAAAGGGCCCCTGGTCTTTCCCAAGCTGCTGAGTAGAAGGGAACATGCAGCTCCCCTCCGCCCCCGCCCCCCCACCAGAGCCAAGGGGCCCGAGAGAGGGAAAGCTGGCCCAGGCCCCAGTGCGGGCTTGCCTCTGACTCTACAGGGACATTCCTCCCTCCCAGCCAGCAAGGAACTTTTGGAACTTCTAAACAGTACACCCTCCAGCCAGCCCACCCCAGCATCCTGCACCCCAGTTTACAGTCTTTTAGTGGTAACTAACACATTTGGCAACCTCCTTGAAGACAAGCCAAACCAGGCCCTTTTCCCCAGGACCTAAGAGATGCTGGGTTGGGACAAAAATGGGATCCTGCCAGACAAGTCCAAAGCCTTGGTTCTCTGGGCCAAGGCTGGAGAGGACCAGAGGGAAATGTCCTCGGCCGGCCTCATAGCGGTCTCCGCCACCACACAGGCTGGTCCAGAGATCTCAAGATGCATCAATGATTCCAGGCAGAGTTCCATCCCCAGCCCACACTCAGCCCAGGACCTGGCCCCAGAATCACCAAGCATTCCCAGCAACATGAAGCACAGCTCACTTTCCATGCCAGGTTCCTCTGGGGTCTCTGAGTAGGAGCAGCCCACCCAGACCCTCTCTTTGGGCTCCTGCTATGCCTAGGAGATTCAAAAAGCATATGTCTCCGACAGAGATAGCCACAGCCTGGTAGCTCTGCTATCAGATGAGTTTAAAGAGTGTTGTTTTGAAAGCTCAAGACGTGTTCTGGTGCTTGGCTTTGGTTCTAGCTCCATCTCTGCCTCAAAAAAAAAAAAAAAACCCGTACTGCTCTCTGTATATAAGAAAATCCTGGAGGCAGTGATCTCAGCTCAAGGGAGCTCCTAAATCACCCAGGCTATGCCTTGTCCAGATTTTGCCAAAAGGTCTCCAGGAAGAGAAGATCTATTCACTCCTTCCTTTAGGCTAACTGCTATGCCTGCCACAAAACATTCTAGCAAATGACTCAAGCCCTGTACCCCCACTGTAAGGCCCAAATCATTGGATCCCTCCACCCATTGACTTGCCCAAGAGTGTCAGAGGGTAGATAAGTGCTCTACCACTGAACCACATCCCCAGTCCTTTATTTTTTTATTTTGAGACGGGGTCTCACTAAGTTGCCCAGGCTGGTCTTATGTTTTTGTGGGTGACCTGACTTAGAGTTCCTGCTTCCTACTTCCCCCAGCCTTCATGGACACCACACCTCCACAGCTGCTGTCCTCTCCCAGCACCTCACCCTGGGCTCTGCTACATGCCTGCATTCTCCTGGTCACCCTGTAATTCACACAACAGCAGGCTTTTACTCTGGCTTTGAGGGTCAGAGAGGGGAATCACAGTAAGCAAATGAGAAGTTGTTAATATACATACTCTCCTAAACATTCATCAACCCCATGTCTGGAAAACTTCTCTATGTCCCAACATATACCCTTTTTTTTTTTCCTTTCTCTCTCTTCTCCTCCAGATTCTGTTCGGCAAACTTCAAGTTTCTGTGGATTTCTCCCGCAGAACAATTTATCTTGCCTTCAGCATGCCCAGAGGGTTTTATTGTTCTCACCAGAGCCTTCCTCTCACTACAATCCCCCCAAAAGAGGCATCTACCTCTAGGATAGATGCCAGTCCCTCCCCTGGAATGCTAAAGCACAGCATTTTGTTTTCTCTGTAACACTTTCTTCCTATCCACCCCCCATCATCGCCCCCTTACATCTGGTACCCCTGACAATCAAGAAATCCACCCCAAATTGCTCCTTTTTTTCCCCTCCTCTGTAGGCATGGAGCATTCCTATTGTAGTTGAAAATGGTGGCCCAATTAAAAGTAAATCAGCTAAGACAGGCACAAAAGGACAAATAATAAACGATTCCTCTTATATGAGGTACTTACAGAAGTCAAATTTATACAGACTAGAAAGTAGGGTCATTGCTAGGTGCTGCGATCAGGAGAGAAGAGCAAGTTATTGTTTACAGGGGATTAAGTTTCAGTTTGGAATGATGAAAAAGAGGGATGGTGGTGAATGTAAAGTATGAATGTACTTCATCACTGAAGTATGCACTTAAACAGTTAAAATAGTAAGTTTTATGTTATATATACTTTACTGCAATTATTTTTAAAAAGTCAGCAGCCTTCATTCTGACCCCAAGAGGGACTTGCAGTTAATTCAACAAATTTGGAATTTTCCTTCAGCAACCCTGGATCACAACATACCTGTGGAGAGTTCCCAAGGTAAGGAGATCATCCTCTCCTGCTCTCAGACAGGTGATCAGTCATCTTTCTTTTGACCCTGCCCATTTTGCTACAGGCATATGCTCCTTTTTCAATTGATAGAAATCACATGAACCAGAGAACAGTGACCACTGGGATAAGAGCCTTGTAAACCTGGTTCAGTTCAGTCATAAGATAGCTGGGTGGCACTGGGCAAGTTATTTCATCATCTCTACATCCCAATAGATGGGAATACACTTTGAGAAGTGGGTGCAAGCCAGCTTCATTACCTTTCTCTCTCTCTCTCTTTTTTTTTGGTATGTAAAGTGCTGGGGATTGAACCCAGGGCCTTGTGCATGCAAAACAACTGAGCTATATCCCCAGCACTCTCTCTCCTTCTTATTTATTTATTTTTCTTTCAATACTGAGGATCAAACCCAGGGCCTTTACAAGGTAGATAAGTGCTCTACCACTGAACCACATCCCCAGTCCTTTATTTTTTATTTTGAGACAGGGTCTCACTAAGTTGCCCAGGCTGGTCTTGAACTTGTGATCTTGCTTTGGCCTCCCAAGTGGCTGAGATTACAGGTGTGTTCCACTGCACTGGGCTTGGTTTCATTATCTCTTACTTCACTTTGTCAAACAAGAAGCATCTTTAACATAATAAGGAAGTAGCTACCTGAAAATAAGGAGATAGCTAGCAAATGCTCAGTAAATACAACCTAAAAATAAAACTCTGATCTTAAGCCAACATCCCTAAGTCATGAGTCTCCTCAAAGGTGGAATGAAGCAAAACCCTTCTCAGTCTGGTCTGTACCAGAAAACTCCCATTTTGTCAAGACATTTATTTTCTCCATGATTAGCTTTTATTCAGAGTCAGTGTCCAACTCTGTCTACAGGTTGCATTCTGTACTGCGTTGATGAGGCATATGGTGGGGCTCTCAGCAGCATAGGAACTGTGGAGTGGGCAGAGAGGGGTGTACCCCTTGGGTACGTAGTCAAAAATGGCACCTTCTACCGGGCACCATGGCACATGCCTGTAATCACGGCTGTTTGGGAGGCTGAGACAGGAGGATCATGAGTTCAAAGCCAGCCCCAGCAATGGCAAGGCACTAAGCAACTCAGTAAGACCCTGTCTCTAAATAAAATACAAAAATGGGATGGGGATGTGGCTCAGTGGTCAAGTGCCCTTGAGTTCAATCCCCAGTACCTCCCCCCCACAAAAAAAAGCACCTTCTAATAATGTTCAAAGCATTCTAACACGTTGACTGTCAAAGGACTAATGAAAAAGTGCCAGCACACATCTGGTGACTACAAGACCATAAAAATTTCATTAGAAAAAAAAAAAAAAAAGGTGGCCCAATGGTGATTTCAGTTGACAGTGTTGGCTGCCCCTCAGTCTGACCACCAGCTGGGTTTGCTATCTATTTCCACAGGGTTTAGGAGGCAGCACTTCTCTCCAAGAAGTCCACCTTTCCTTCAAGCCTAAGAAGCAAGTTTAGATTGCCATGGCCCAGGTAAGCACATACCCTTCCTCCCTTTGGCCCCCTGTGCCTCACCAGGACTTTTCTGGTCCTTCTCTCCCCTTTAAAGAGAGACTGGTTAATGGCCCCTTTCCACCTCCAGGGAACACCTGGGAGAAAAGTCCAGGGACTCCCACATACTCTGAACTGTCTCATGCACCTCACAGGGGCCCAGCTCAGCCCAGATGGAAGTCATCTAGCTAAGGCTTCATGCTGACTTCACCAATAATTACGTTATGCTTGTCCACACCCATTCCCACATCACCTCCTCCTGAGTCCCTGTCCCACTCACACAGGCTGTGCCAAGAAGGGAAACTGGAAGCAGACCTAAAGGAACCCAGCAGGGGATCTAGGGACACAACCAGGGGCCCAGACTTGGATCATGCACAACTGAGGCTCCCACCTTGTCCAGCGCAGCCTCCCAACAGCTGCTGTACCTTAGCTGCCGGATCTATAATATAAAGAAAGGAGCCAGTTTTTCACTTAAAGTAAGAAAGGGGTATGTAGAGATTTCCTGTGACGCCATCTGTGCTTCATAGGGTGGCTGTTCCCTTTTCTCCTCAGGGCCTTAGGATGCTCCAGGTGGCCTTCCTAGCCGTAGCCCCACAGGCCTTCATCCACAGCCAGCCAGGAGCATCTACAGATCACCCACACCCAGGTTCAAGGACCCGGAGAGGGTTGTTGTGAAGCTCTGAGAATGTCCCCCATGAGTTCCAGAACATTTTTCTTTCCCATTTTATGGGATTATCACATTTCTTAGTAATCAGGCAGGGCAGAACCAGAGAACTGTGATCATGGGCACCTGGGTGGAATAAACTGTTACTGCAAATGGGGCGTCATGTCAGCCTCCTCTCCACCCTTTCTCTCAAAGGTGGCCTGTTTAAGAGCAAGCTGCTTTCACACAAACTTACCACACCTGAGACAGGGAGGAGCCAGGGTGGGAGGACCAAGGTCAGGGGTGGTGCTGAGCAGACCTCTGGCTGGGAGCTCCCTGGAAAGGGGGGGGGAATTCAAGAGTAACCCTTTCCTGAAAGCACCAGCAGTTCCTCACAAGGAACTGTGAAGGGTCAATAGCAAGACACCAGTCACCACCTCCTCCATGGAGGCTGGGGGGAGGAGCCCTGCCCCCATAGAGGCCCTTGCTGGTCTTAGCCCATCCCAGCCTTCTCACAGGGTGCTTTGAGGAACAGCAGCTCCTGCATCTCCAGCCTTTGCCCTTACAAAGGCCCCTCTGTCACAGCCGCCCCAAGAACAGGCCTCCCCCTGAGGCTACCCACTCACATTTTTACATAATGCCATAATAGTAACTGTTGTATTCTGCTACCTTTCCTATCCTCTACTACCCACTCCTCCCCCCCCCACCCACCCACACACACATGCGCTTCCTACAGGAACAGATTCCAAGCCGAGTTAATGTCGGAACTGTCTCCCAACAACATGCTGGAACAAAGGCTGCACATGACTAAATGTGCTGGGTGCTTGTCAGGGCTTAGGCAAACGTAATTATAGGGAGAGGCAAAGCCACTCTCAGCAGCCACACCTGGCCATACAGTAAACAGCACTTCTTCCTGTCGAGCTGGGGGGAGCTGAGAGACAGGGAGGCGACAAACCACAATTTGAATCATTTGGGAAGAAGCTATAAATATAATAATGAGTCATTTGTAAAATATAATTTCATCCAAAAGCCTGGAAAAAATAGGAAAGAAGTTCTTCTGCTATTTCAGGCTAAATTGTTCAAGGGTGTTCTGCCAGAACCTGGGGAGGGGACCCAGCTGCCCACCAAGAGCCAGGCTAGGACTCACATAAGTGCCTCCCAAGCTCTCCCTCTGCTAGGGTGCTGCCTTGGACACCACCTTCCCTGGTTCCCCCAGAACATCCTAAGGTTGGAATGCTGGTACTTGAGAGTTCACTCCTTGGAGAGCTGATAAGAATCAGAGCCAGGCCAGCCTGGCGTCCAGGCTGTGCAGTCTGAGAACAGTTTAGGACAGACACGCTGTTGTTTTTGGCAAACTCTTCCCCAGCCTTGGGGCCCTAACAGCCTTTCCTGTACAGGGTGGCTTTTCCCAGTGCAGCTCAGGGTCTTTTTCAGAGCTCTGGGAAACCTTGAATTCAGCCCTAGACCCCAGTTCTTTGGGGGTGGGGCTAGGGATACCCTTTATAAAGCTCTGTCTGGAAAGAGAACTGAGGTCACTAGGCTTGGCCCAGGTCACCACTGCCATTCTGCCTAGTTATGAAAAAGGCATGTTCAATAATGCCTCTTAATATCTGTGTGACCTTAGAAAGTTACTTAACCTCTGTGGACTCCATTACCTCATCCATTAGATGGGTTTAATAACAGAATCTTCCTCAAAGTGTTATTGAAAAGATAAAATAAATTAATATATAAAGTATTTAGAATAGGGCCTGGCATAATGAACACTCAAGAATGTTGGCTAGAGGCTGGGGCTGAGGTTCAGTGGTAGAGCACTTGCCTAGCATGTGGGAGGCCCTGGGTTTGATCCTTAGCACCACATAAAAATAAATAAATAAAATAAAGGTATTGTGTCCATCTATAACAAAAAATATTTTTTAAAATAAGATTGTTGGGGTTGGGGATATAGCTCAGTTAGTAGAGTGCTTGCCTCACATGCACAAGGCCCTGGGTCTGATCCCCAGAACCACCAAAAAAAAAAAAAAAAGATAAAAATAAGGTTGTTAACTAATGAGATTAGTTCTGTTTTTCACTGGGCATCTTGGTACAACAGGACACCACAGGACAAGGGCATGTGACATATGTGGTTGATGTTGGAACAACATGGATAAACCAAAGGCCATTATCCCTCCTGACCCTCTTGCTTTGCCTCTTGGACTATGGAAAGGGAGAAGACAGACCACACTACACACCACTGTTCAGGGCCACACCTTGAAATCCAACTTCAGCCTTTCCTTTTCTTGTCCCTTCTCTCTCCTTCTCTTCTGTCTCCCCTTCCCTCTTTCCTTTCCTGCCTGCTAAACCTCTCCTTCTTCCTGGTCTTCTAATCCCAGGGCACAGCTGGGAACTTCTGTCCCACCCAAACCACTGGGTCCTTTTCCTCTCTTGCTAAGGGTGGCCTTAAAGACCCTCAGCAGCCTGAGCAGGTTGGCACATGCCTGTAATGCCAGCAACTTGGGAGGCTGAGGCAGGAATATCTCCAGTACAAGGCCAGCCTCAGCAACTTAGCCTCAGTTATCCAGTTAGCCTGGTAATTAGTAATAATCTTGAACAATTTAATAAGGTCCTGTCTCAAAAAAATAAAAAGGGCTGGGGGTATATATAGCTCAGTGGTGAAATGCTGTGTGGTTCAATACTCAGCACCAAGAAAGAAAAAGAAAGAAACCCTCACAGGACTCCTATCCATGCCTAGGTGGCCCCTACGCCAAGGGAAGCCAGAAAAGGTCAACCAAAATAATCTCCATGCCAATACTTTGCATTTTCCTTTCTCAGAAATCAGAGTAGCATAGCAGCCCTTGCCCAGAGAAGAAGTCAAAGGATGTTTATGCAGCAGTACCCCTTCCCCTGCCACTGCCAAGCTGTCACACCAGCCAGTGCTGTCATTGCCCCTGCACCCCACCATTCCTCCCCTACCAGCAGCATTGGTCCTCCTTCTCTCCTGGCTTGGGTGACTTAGTTTTCCCCAATAATTCTTTAATATTATAAAATAGCTACCAGAGTAAACATTTCCCTAAATGTCTCATTTTCCCCCCTTTTTTAAAAGTATTTTTGTCTGAATTAAGAATCTAAATAAGACCTATCTGTTGTGATTAATGGGTATGTTTCTAAAGTCATTTATAGTTTCCCTCCAAGTAAATCTCTTGCTCGCTCTTCTGGTACTTTCTTTGTTTAAAAAAAAAAAAATGTAGTTGTTTATCCTTTGGACTTCCCAAGTCTAGATTTTTAAAAATTAAAAAACAGAGTAGTGTCACTGAACAAGATTCTTTGTCTTTTGTATAGCCTGTTAACTAACAGTTTCATACAGAAACCCAATTTTAGGTTTAATTATTTTTTTTTCATCCACTGTGTTTATTTCACATATTTTTCATCTCTAGAAGCTCGATTTAGATCTTTTTTAGATCTTTTTATTCTGTTTCTTTCCTTCTTTTTTTTTCCCCAGTATTACTTTGCATAGGTGGAGAAACGTGCCTCTATAAGAACATAAAATATCTAGTCTTCTCTTTTTCTGTCATATTATCAGTCATGGTTAATCATTGCCTAATTCTGCTTTTAGGAGTTTCAAAATTGTAATATTCTACTTTATCATTTCTTCTGCATTTATTAAATAGAATACCACATTCCCAATACTCTTTAATTGCTTTGTGAAGACCTAGATTTCTTTCTGGCATAATTTTCCTTATACTTGAATTTTCCTTCTGTCAACATTGCTTAGAGTACAAGTCTCTTGGCAATGAGTTCCCTCACATTATGCACATCTGAAAAATTTTTTATTTTACCTTCATTTTGAAAGCTATTTTTGTTGGGTATACAATTCAAGGATGACAATTATTTTTTTTTTTAGTTCTTTGAAGATGTTGCTCCATTGCCTTCTGGTTTTCATTGCTGTCAAAAGGAAGTCTGTTGTCATTTTTTTTTTTTTTTTTTTTTGAGAGGGAGAGCGAGAGAGAATTTTTTGGCGGACACAACATCTTTGTTTGTATGTGGTGCTGAGGATCGAACCCGGGCCGCACACATGCCAGGCGAGCACGCTACCGCTTGAGCCACATCCCCAGCCCCAAGTCTGTTGTCATTTTTAACTTTGTTCTTTTTTACATAATGTGTCCTTTTCCCCCTGATTGCTTTTAGTATATTTTATTTAACACAGGTTTTTAATCAATATGATTATGATGTGTCTTGGTGTGGTTCTTCAGTTTCTTGTGCCAGTGGTTCATTAAGCTTCTTAGATTTGAGCACTTATAATAGTTGTCACATTTGGAATATATTTGACTAGTAGGTCTTCAAATGTTTTTTGCCCTTCCCACTTTTTCGAAGACTCCAATTACGTAAGTATCAGGTCACCTGAAGTTTTCTTACAGATCACTGAGGCTCTGATCTTTTATTTTTCCTTTCTTAGCATGTCTTCTCTTTCATTGTCTTTTTCCCCAGCACTGGGGATGAATCCAGGGACTCATGCATTTTAGGCAAATGCTCTTTCACTGAGCTACACCCCCAGCCCTTGCGTTATATTTTGGGTAGTTTCTGTGACTGTTTCTTTACTTTTTTTTCTGCAGTGTTTAATATGCTGTTACTTTCATCCACTGTGTTTATTTCACATATTTTTCATCTCTAGAAGTTCAATTTAGATCTTTTCTAATATCTTGATATTATAAAATTATTAAAATTTACATGTCCCTATGTACTAACATCCTTTTTCTAACCTCCATGTCATTTCTGGATTTGTTTCTATTGATTGATTTCTGATTATGAGCCATATTTTCCCAATTTTGCATGCCTGATTTTTTTGAATGTTTTATTTAATGTCTTCCCTGAAGTATGGAAAAGGAGAAGGGGATCTAGGTCCTCTTATTCTCTCTCCATAGCCTGGCTAGTTAAATAATTTTGTTTGGCTTTGTTTCACTCAGTAGCTATTTCTTTCAACCCTCCTATGGGGCATATCTCAAGAAGTTGTAATATAAGTAAGGGACTGTCCCTGATCCACTCACCACCCTCATCACCTCCCCCCAGGACCTCTCAGCCCTTAAGGATGATTAGAGGAGCACCATAAGAGCTACAAGGGATTGAGTAAGGGAAAGGACCCAAAACAAGTGTGTAGAATTAAGAGGAAGGGTTTTGTGCCTTGCCAGGGGAAAGGAA